ATATTTGTAAAATGTGGCCATGATTTATTGTTAGATCAGTTTTACTTCTTGGTTCAAGTTAGCAGGTCATATATTTTTGGTGATTTCTCATAGGAAAAAAGCTGCCAAAATAGGTATGCCACCTGCTAAAATAAGTCCTTGACAACAGCTTACTTATATATGTATATTCTGTCACGGTAGGCCCCAGTTATTTAATATATTTGTAAAATGTGGCCATGATTTATTGTTAGATCAGTTTTACTTCTTGGTTCAAGTTAGCAGGTCATATATTTTTGGTGTTTTGTCATAGGAAAAAAGCTGCCAAAATAGGTATGCCACCTGCTAAAATAAGTCCTTGACAACAGCTTACTAATTTTTGTGTTGTCCGTCATGATAGATCTTTGTTGTGTATTATTTATGTAAAATATGTTAATAAATAATATCAGGTCAAAATTACTGCTATGTTAGTCAAGAACTATGTCAATGTTAAATATAGAAAATTCCAAAATTGAAGAAATGACTGATTTAAGATTTATTGTGAAACAAAATTCCTTGGCTCAGTTAAAGAAACAATGTCTATACATAAAAAGTAGCTGCTTAGGAACAGATTGTCATTAACAGTTAAATTGAACAAACAGGTGACATCCAAGTAATATCAAACAAATTTGAAAACCTATTGCCTTTCCCAGCTGCTAGTGTAAAGCAAGATCAATGGAAATGCTTCAGTCCTTTGGGTTGAAACCAGTGGTCTGTTGTTTCCAGTCTGTTTATGCCGCCTTGGTACAGAGTGATCAATCTTAAAAGATTACTGAACAGCAGTGCTCATACAGTTTGTATTCAACACCTCTAACATAATGTCCACAATATCCTCTGTACTGGCACAATTACAAAGATAATATTCAAATCATTTACATAAATAAATTCCTTTTGACAATTTCATTTTGACTAGGTTTCCATACTTAGATTGATCTGGATCAACCTAACTTCATGGGGAGTCACACTAAATTGCTATCAGCTCAAGAGGCTTAAATGTCTGTCACGCCTACCAAATCAGCTAGGGTAAAGATATTTACCCCTAACAGCTTTACTAGGCCTGACAGACATTTAGGCCAGTTAAGTTGGTTGCAATTTAGTGAGACTGCCCAGGGAGATAGATTCGTCCAAAAATATATGCAAATGGTCTATTTATCTAGGTCACAAATATATATTAGCCTGTGCTGAATTGAATATATATTCAGCAATTGTAACATTTAAAATATATGTTAAACCTCTTGTCGAGCAGGTATAAAATAGATATTGGAACCACATTGCAAATTGTCTAACGCACATACTACTGTTCAGATGACATCTTACAAAGAGAATCTATACATGTCAAATTCCAGATATTTGGCTTTAAAACATCCCAATGAACATTATTTTCAAGGTAAAGATTAATTACTTTGGTTTTTAGTTCTAAATAAAATATTGTAAATTAAACTATTTTCACACTAGACATACATTTATTATAATTCAAATATCAATACAGCTTTGTGATTCCTAGATTGAGAGTTGGAGCTGTGTTGGACCCATAGTCACAATTTTAACTTTGCTTACAAGGCAAAAGTAATATCTGAACTGAAGGTTCAGAAATAAATTTAAAGCTACAGTTGAACACAACTAAAATATCTTAATCACATAAGAGCATGGTATTGATCATTAAAACCTCAAAGTAACATTTTCAGTATATGCCCCTTAAAACTAATTGCAATCAATATTTGCATAGGTCTTGAGATAAAAAGAGCACATTTGAGTCAATATTACAATTAAAAAAATTCTATAATTATTAAAAACCTCAAGAGTTAATCAACCCATCAAATTTACCATTGCCCCGTTAGCCAGCCGAACTGATTACCACCTCCTACGACGTGGACGAGGGGTTGGATTTTAGGAGGCACAAGGGTTATCTGTTAGGGTTTTCCTTCCCTTAGACGATTGCTAAATAGCTAACGAGCTCCATCTGCCCGGATGGAAACTAACGAGCTCCACCTGCCCGGGTTTTGCCAGTCAGGGTTTTCCTTCCCTTCGTCAGCATGATGGAAACTTACGAGCTCCACCTGCCCGGGTTTTGCCAGTCAGGGTTTTCCTTCCCTTCGTCAGCATGATGGAAACTTACGAGCTCCACCTGCCCGGGTTTTNACATATCTGACAAAATTCCATGTGCTAAGTCTATTTCATCACTAGTCAACCAGGCATGTCTTTGACTTAATATTGTTTTAGAAGAAATGTCATACCTACTGCATGAAAGGTTTTTTCTCCGCTTAAGTGACAAGGAAGGGACCTTACCTTTTCTTTTCATACCTACCCGTCCCTCACCATTGAGGGCCTTACAATCATCCTCCTCAGTCCTATCTACAAATGCAAATCAAAACATTGAAATGAGCAACCCCATAAAAATACTGAATAATACAAATAACTATTCATTTACATTAGCAAAACCAAAAGTATTTAACTTGTATTGCCAATTACATAAGTGTTTATCTCATACTTAACCTATTCAGGAATTGGATAATATTTTTATAATATTAAAGCTTTGCCACAGATTACTTCTTTATTTTGGTTTATTTGTTTGGCTTTTATTCCCTTAACTCATTATCAGGTGAGGTCAATGCCATACTGGCTCTTAAATAGTTTTACCAAACATTTCAGTGAAGCCAGCGCTCAACAAGACCAGCAAAACTGCAATTTTAAGGAGAAAATTGGTTTCAACGGGGACCACTGTTCATAAATCAGGTGCCTTTTTACAAACCTCCTGTGTCCTCTGCCCCAGCACCTGTGTCCTCAGTTCTCACTGGTTCCTGGTCAGCACGGGGCTCAGCTGAAAAAAAAAGTAAGAATATAAAATAATAAAAAACTTTTTCCCCTAGGACCTTATTGTTGTTCTGAAGAGAAAAAAATGCTCAATACAGCACAGAACAATGCAATTGATCTAACAAATATTTAAAGCTATATTGTTTAGTGGTTGCCTGGTGCTTAATAAAGGATACTGACTTATGTCAGCATAGGTATGAAGGTAACTGTTTTAACACAACTCTTTTCACAGTCATTGTCAAAAAGGAGTCATAAGTGGTCATAAATCTGTTATATTGACATAAATTTAGTATCTTTCACAGACATCAATAATTTCAAAATATTAACAGACCTCAAATCAGTTCATTCTGGGTCCATCTACTATCTACAAGATCATCAAAATCTTTAATACAAACCTGTTGGGTCTTCTGCCCTTACTCCGGAGTCCTCTTGGTCAGCTGTGGCCTGGGCTGAAAAAAAAAAACAACAGATTAGTGTATATGACAACAATATATTTCACTTTACTGGAGCTTTGAAATTCACGTTTTTGCAGTCAGATCCTTATAATGAAAATATGTAAACAGTTAATTTGTTGTACATGACTTCATAAATATCTAAAGGCAATATGCACCCAAAGTCTTCATGGCACTTTAGGTGCATATTGCCTATTCACTACACGAAGACAAAATCCAAATACAAAACCTCAAATCAAAACCAATTTACTTTTGAAAAAATGTGCTGATCCTAAAAGAAATGAATGGTTTTAATCATAAAATTTGAGAGATTTTAAAAATCACTAATGCTCATTATCAAGATGCTTTAATACAAACCTGATGGGTTCTCAGTCCTCACTGGGTCCTCTTGGCCAGCTTGGGCCTGGACTGAAAAGAAACAGACAAATAAGCATAACCAAAAACCTTTTTCTCTTAGGGACCAATGTTTACTGAAAATGTTCCTCACAGAAAAGAAATATACATTTACTAAGAAACAATTAACAATGTGTTGCCATATAATTCGGTGCCATGTTTTCTATTTACAAATTCTATCTACAGAATAGCAATTATACAAGCAGAAATGTAGCCTGTTACTTAAACTACATCACCAAAGTTAGCCTAGCATATGATCATGCATTAATGGAATGAGTAACTAACCTTCTCGGTAAGGTTTCAAATGAATATAAGCCACTTTGGTTTTCAGCTCTTTCCCTTCCAAAGTCTCCAAAGTCACATTCTGTCTCTGGTCTATGCTTTTTACTCTAAAAGTAATATTATGAGAAATTTATCCAAACAAGCGGCCGTGGTACTATAGAGCTTTAATATTGCATATTTTGACATGCTGAATTTCTAGCTACATTACATTTGCCCCCACTCCCAATATAGGACCTATAAAATTTGCATCTTAAAGCCAAAATTATGAGATAACAATATAATATATATATAAATCTAACTTTAAAATCATTTACAGTACTGAAAATTGTTGTTCACCCTAGGAAAATCTGCTTTTTTCATCAAAAGAAACAGTTGCTCTTCCTTTGAATTTTATTTTAATTAAAATTGTGTAAAATGTGACAAACATGTATGCATAGAATAAGTGAACAAGTGAATTATGATTTACCTGTATGGTCCAATCCAATCAGTCTCAAGCTTTGCACCTTTCCGCCCAACTTTATGAAAGTTTTTCTTCAGAACTTTCATTCCTTTTTCGAAGTGAAAGACTACCACATTTTTCCCTTTTTTGGCCTCATACTGTTTCTTGTATTTAGCTTGTGCCTTTTCTACTTTCTCCATGTACTGAAAATAATGGTTTATAGAAATTGTATTCAATAAGGTAATACTATGGTTCGGTATTAATAGAAGCAGAATTTAGAATTTTGCTGCATAAACGTAAACCATGTACAAAGCCAGCAGGATAAATGAAACTAGATGCAGAATACTGCAGCTGCTGCCATCACTATTATTTTTACAAATATTCTCAATGTTGCAATATTTTTATGAACAGATTACGTGTGACATCTTTTCTTTTCATAAACTTGTTTGAAACCAAATATTGCTCAATATAAGGGGCTACTCTTTAATCTTTCATGAACTAAAAAGTCCCACATGCATACCTTAGAGTGTAACTCAGTAAGTTCCTGGTGTTGGGATTCCATGTGCACATTATAGTCTTCTTTGCTTGGCATTGTCATTTCCTTCTCAGTATCCACCAACTGCAAATCAGATATTAATGGATATCAATCATGTTTATCAATTAATTTAAATCTTAAGGTGACAATACACTGATTATTGTTTTGGTGAAATACAAGAATTTCACTTGTACATACATACCACAGGGCTGATATCAAAACGAAAACATTGCAGGGACTGATACAATCATTGAGATGGAGTGACTGCCCATGCGGAAGATGGGCAGGAAATCAGCCAACTACTCACAGATGACCATTGACCCATGTCTCTGTCAATATATACGCAACCACAAACCATTCATGTAAATAAATAGTTGGACAGTGACAGCAATTAGGCAGTAAATGTGGGGAAGTGTTCTATTCAAAAGTAGGGGGTTTGGAAGGGTCTTGGGTTGTTAATATTTTTTCATAGCATGATTTGCACAAAGCTCTAGCCTTAGTCTACTCAAATAGTTTTTGGAACCAGTGCTCNCCCCTCACCATTGAGGGCCTTACAATCATCCTCCTCAGTCCTATCTACAAATGCAAATCAAAACATTGAAATGAGCAATCCCATAAAAATACTGAATAATACAAATAACTATTCATTTACATTAGCAAAACCAAAAGTATTTAACTTATATTGCCAATTACATAAGTGTTTATCTCATACTTAACCTATTCAGGAATTGTATATTATTTTTTAAAGCTTTGCCACAGATTACTTCTTTATTTTGGTTTATTTGTTTGGGTTTTATTCCCTTAACTCATTATCAGGTGAGGTCAATGCCATACTTGGTCTTAAATAGTTTTACCAAACATTTCAGTGAAGCCAGCGCTCAACAAGACCAGCAAAACTGCAATTTTAAGGAGAAAATTGGTTTCAACGGAGACCACTGCTCATAAATCTTGTGCCTTTTTACAAACCTCCTGTGTCCTCTGCCCCAGCTCCTGTGTCCTCAGTTCTCACTGGTTCCTGGTCAGCACGGGGCTCAGCTGAAAAAAAAAGTAAGAATATCAAACTTTTTCCCCTAGGACCTTGTTGTTCTAAAGAGAAAAAAATGCTCAATACAGCATAGAACAATGCAATTGATCTAACAAATATTTAAAGCTATATTGTTTAGTGGTTGCCTGGTGCTTAATAAAGGATGCTGACTTATGTCAGCATAGGTATGAAGGTAATTGTTTTGACACAACTCTTTTCACAGTCATTGTCAAAAAGGAGTCATAAGTGGTCATAAATCTGTTATATTGACATTCATTTAGTATCTTTCACAGACATCAATAATTTCAAAATATTAACAGACCTCAAATCAGTTCATTCTGGGTCCATCTACTATCTACAAGATCATCAAATTCTTTAATACAAACCTGTTGGGTCTTCTGCCCTTACTCCGGAGTCCTCTTGGTCAGCTGTGGCCTGGGCTGAAAAAAAAACAACAGATTAGTGTATATGACAACAATATATTTCACTTTACTGGAGCTTTGAAATTCACGTTTTTGCAGTCAGATCCTTATAATGAAAATATGTAAACAGTTAATTTGTTGTACATGACTTCATAAATATCTAAAGGCAATATGCACCCAAAGTCTTCATGGCACTTTAGGTGCATATTGCCTATTCACTACACGAAGACAAAATCCAAATACAAAACCTCAAATCCAAACCAATTTACTTTTGAAAAAATGTGCTGATCCTAAAAGAAATGAATGGTTTTAATCATAAAATTTGAGAGATTTTAAAAATCACTAATGCTCATTATCAAGATGCTTTAATACAAACCTGATGGGTTCTCAGTGCTCACTGGGTCCTCTTGGCCAGCGTGGGCCTGGACTGAAAAGAAACAGACAAATAAGCATAACCAAAAACCTTTTTCTCTTAGGGACCAATGTTTACTAAAATGTTCCTCACAGAAAAGAAATATACATTTACTAAGAAACAATTAACAATGTGTTGCCATATAATTTGGTGCCATGTTTTCTATTTACAAATTCTATCTACAGAATAGCAATTATACAAGCAGAAATGTAGCCTGTTACTTAAACTACATCAGCAAAGTTAGCCTAGCATATGATGCTATGATCATGCATTAATGGAATGAGTAACTAACCTTCTCGGTAAGGTTTCAAATGAATATAAGCCACTTTGGTTTTCAGCTCTTTCCCTTCCAAAGTCTCCAAAGTCACATTCTGTCTCTGGTCTATGCTTTTTACTCTAAAAGTAATATTATGAGAAATTTATCCAAACAAGCGGCCGTGGTACTATAGAGCTTTAATATTGCATATTTTGACATGCTGAATTTCTAGCTACATTACATTTGCCCCCACCCCCAATATAGGACCTATAAAATTTGCATCTTAAAGCCAAAATTATGAGATAACAATATAATATATATATATATATATATATATATATATATAAATCTAACTTTAAAATCATTTACAGTACTGAAAATTGTTGTTCACCCTAGGAAAATCTGCTTTTTTCATCAAAAGAAACAGTTGCTCTTCCTTTTATTTTAATTAAAATTGTGTAAAATGTGACAAACATGTATGCATAGAATAAGTGAACAAGTGAATTGTGATTTACCTGTATGGTCCAATCCAATCAGTCTCAAGCTTTGCACCTTTCCGCCCAACCTTATGAAAGTTTTTCTTCAGAACTTTCATTCCTTTTTCGAAGTGAAAGACTACCACATTTTTCCCTTTTTTTGCTTCATACTGTCTCTTGTATTTAGCTTGTGCCTTTTCTACTTTCTCCATGTACTGAAAATATTGGTTTATAGAAATTGTATTCAATAAGGTAATACTATGGTTCGGTATTAATAGAAGCAGAATTTAGAATTTTGCTGAATAAACGTAAACCATGAACAAAGCCAGCAGGATAAATGAAACTAGATGCAGAATACTGCAGCTGCTGCCATCACTATTATTTTTATAAATATTCTCAATGTTGCAATATTTTTATGAACAGATTACGTGTGACATCTTTTCTTTTCATAAACTTGTTTGAAACCAATTATTGCTCAATATAAGGGGCTACTCTTTAATCTTTCATGAACCAAAAAGTCCCACATGCATACCTTAGAGTGTAACTCAGTAAGTTCCTGGTGTTGGGATTCCATGTGCACATTATAGTCTTCTTTGCTTGGCATTGTCATTTCCTTCTCAGTATCCACCAACTGCAAATCAGATATTAATGGATATCAATCATGTTTATCAATTAATTTAAATCTTAAGGTGACAATACACTGATTATTGTTTTGGTGAAATACAAGAATTTCACTTGTACATACATACCACAGGGCTGATATCAAAACGAAAAGATTGCAGGGACTGATACAATCATTGAGATGGAGTGACTGCCCATGCGGAAGATGGGCAGGAAATCAGCCAACTACTCATAGATGACCATTGACCCATGTCTCTGTCAATATATACGCAACCACAAACCATTCATGTAAATAAATAGTTGGACAGTGACAGCAATTAGGCAGTAAATGTAGGGAAGTGTTCTATTCAAAAGTAGGGGGTTTGGAAGGGTCTTGGGTTGTTAATATTTTTTCATCATAGCATGATTTGCACAAAGCTCTAGCCTTAGTCTACTCAAATAGTTTTTGGAACCAGTGCTTAAAACAAGCTCACAAGGACAGTGACGTCCTTGCACAATGCTAATGTATGCATACTATTTACCTCGCATGGCAGCCGAGCCTCCCTGTGGAACATAAGGAAAAAAGGCGAGTATCCCGTGGCGCAGTGTGGTGCTATCCGGTAGGCGAAAGTCACTGGCTCCAAATATCGTTCCCAATCATCTTGTCGCTCACTTATGACTTTGGATAGTGATGCCTTCAATGTTTGATTAAAACGCTCGTCTAACCCATTAGTCTGAGGGTGGTATGCGGCAGTGATTTTATGCTTAATACCCCACTCCTTGAGAAGGTCGTCTACCAGCTACAGAAAAATATTTTAAGTAAAAATGGGTATTTATGTATTTGGGCAATTCAATTTTTGCATTGGGCGATGTTAGGCTTATCTTTCCAAATACCTCATTTCATTGATGTATTAAACAGTTTACATTAACAATAAAAAATGGTTATATTTGAGAAGAATAGGCTTTCAATATTACATATGCTTTAACAGACATGCCAACAAGATTGAAGCCAATGTTCACCCTAAAACCTTAAACATTTTTGGCATAACATCGTCAGTGATAGTATCCTTTCCATTTCCCAATCTATGCTAAAGACTTTAAAATATTGCAAAGACATTTACCTCATTACAAAATTCCGACCCCTGGTCAGTTAGTAGTTTTTCTGGGGCTCCCATTCTGAGAAAATAAAAAACATCACTTTAACTTAAGCATATAAATATGTGTTAAACAACAAACGTGAAGTGTCTACAGACATGTTTGACAGATATTAAAGGGATAATGACTCTTTGTATGATATCTATATTTCACAATAAAAACATTGGGAACAACTCAAAGAAATATAATAAATTCTGTTTTAACACAAAAACGGCAGTTATAGCTATTATTCTGATATCTAAGCTTGTTTTCAGATCACGTGACCTTCACTGATAACTGTGATCAGTTAAGAGATTTTAACAAAAAAAGGGGACTAACTTTGAATGTAAAAATTGATTCATTGACCTTTGGTAAGTATGGAAAAATTGTTGTTTACTCAAGGAAAATCCATTTTTTGGCCAAAAGGAAGAGTTAATATCCCTTTAAGTTAATACCACCTATTAAACTTATTTTGTTTATTACTATCTTTACTACCTTCCACAGATTTCCAGTCCATGAACCAAATATGTGATTCACATGTTTTGGCACTTCAACTTAACAATGTAACATATGCACAAAGCTATTTAATTTTTAAAAGCATGTGTTATTTATGCTAAAGTGAACAGACACTTGTCACTTGCATAGTGATACAAATTACTGTTAAATATATAGACTTTCAACTGAATAAAATTTAACTTACAACTATAAGTGTATTTTAATTAAAATGATTTACTGATTTCACATTTAATCTCCCAGATTACATTTTGGTGAAATGAACATACCTGTAAAATATAGAAGAAAGAACCTTGGCCACACTTGCTGCATCCTTTGAAGGAATTGGGTATGTTTCTGTCCACTTTGTATAGTAGTCAGACATGGTGAGGACATACCTATTGCCATTCTCAGACAATGGCAGAGGGCCTATTAGGTCAATGCCAACCATCTCCCATTTCCCAACAACCTTTATCGGCTGCAAGACTGGCGCCTCTGTTCTTATTTTCTCTGAATACTGACATTTGTCGCACATTTTTATCTGCAAAATGCAATAAAATGCACATATATTACAAATAATGAATTGGTGGCTCATGCCAATCAAATTGAATTAATCAATCTTGTAGGACATCTTGTTAGAGAGGTTGGCAAACCAATTAGAATCGAAATCCAACAAATAGAAAGTTTGTCTTGAGGTTACATTTGCACATTTTGCTTTAGTATTTTTTCACCCAACACACCACTTGTGTTAAATTATTTTTATGTTACAAATTCAAATCATATAAACCCTTTTCTCCCTTTCCAAACAAGACCAAGGTCTAAAAAAGTGTTACCCAAAATCACCAATACTTCTTTTTTAAAGATCAATCTACATACCCAATTGTTGATGCATGTAACCATGCTTCTCCAATAAAAACGGCTCTCTATTTTCCCCAGGGTCTTCTTCTGCCCAAAATGGCCTCCCATTGGAGAATCGTGACATTCGCGAAAGATGTCCTTCTTTTTTTCATCATCAAACACTACTAGTCTCTTTCCACCATTCTTGATGTAATACATATCTGACCCTGAAAATAAAGAAAAAAACTCAATTCTACTATTAACAAGATAACTGAAGATTTTCGGTCTAAAAAAATACCAACTTGAAATGGTACACATTTGTCAATACCAGTACTTTGTGGATAAACAGAAAACAGAAACTATGGGATATACGAGCAACCAAGCCGCTATGATGAACCTTTTCATCAGAAATACATGTTTCTGTTTCATGTTCAGAAATGGAAATTGCCTTAATTGGACACCAAATGCATAGTGAACATGCAACAAAAGGCACCAGTTACAAAAAAGTTTCAGACATGGCTGATGTTGTATGAAGTTTGTTTTAACTGCAAAGTTTACTAGCTATAAATTTTAGATTTCATAGATTAAAATTATATTATTTCAATGTACTTTTTTCAATTTCTCACAGATTTTAATTTATTTCACACCACAGGCTAAACTTTTTAATGTTAGGGAATTAGGTCATGCTTATAACATATCAAAATAACAGAACAGGTATTCCAAAAGAAAGTTACATTTGCATATTAAACCACAATTCATACAAGTGAAAAAAACTTCACCCTCTTACCTTCGCATATAAAATTCTTGGCCATCCT